TTACATAATATGTTTCTGAAAATCAATAGCAATGAATAATGGGTATGTGTTTGAGAAAGCTGTAATCCATATCACTTGTTACATTAATATGTAAATAAAGGCAGGCTCATGGGATAAAAGAGAGCCACATGGGACAGATGATTTCAGAAACTCCTCAACAACGACACTTAACATTCCACTGCTGCATTGAGACTTTTCGGATGCCTTAGAAAGAGAGAACGATTGTGGGCAAGAATCGGAGACTAAACAAGTGATCGATATAATTAATTCATAATAAATACATAGAAGAAAACAAATGACTCTGGTTTACAAATGGCAAGTTATGCGCTCTTAGTTGGTTAGACTCCAGCAGGAGCTCAGTGCACTTTGGGGACCCCAAGCCTTGCTTCTTGCCAGCCTTCTCCTAATACTTTATGGAATTCGGTAAGCAGAAGGTATATTCCATTCCAGACAAAGAGAAATTTTCATGCATAGGTCACATATGTAAGTGGGACTCTCAGTTTGGATACTTTTAAGCATGGCGATGGGTTTCCATGGGTGACCAAAAATAAAACTCTTCTAATGTATCTTTCTCTCTCTCAAGGTGCTGGCTGATTTCTGGTGCATTATTTTCCCATGGAAATGGCTGCCCCTTGATATTTTACACACGTGATTCGTCAGCTGTTTTAACAGTTGTCTTCTGGTAATGTCATTACCTAGTGTAGATATGTGCTGAGTTCCTTCTGTTCTGCATACTCCTCAATTGCCATTGTTGTAGAATAATACTGACCCAGGCCTAATAAAGTTCTGCTCAACAATCCCCCAAATAAAATTGGTCATTTTCTTTGTGGCGCTCCTTAAGAAATATATTTCCCCCCTCTCCTCCAGTTGGATTCTATTTCAACTGGCCCAACTCAGTCGCAATCTTGTTCCTCCTCATCCTGTGACTGGATTTACATTCTGCCCGTGCAGAGCAATGGCATAGCTTGAATATATCTGAAATGCCTGGCTTCACAGAGGTAATGTAATAGTTGAAGCAGGAGGCTTCAAATGTGATTTACACAGTAGGGGCAGATGTAAGAGCTTTGTTTTGTTCTGTGAGAGAGATCCAGCAGTGTTTCAGTGAAGAAAAATTCTGCACCAAAGGATCAAAGAATAGCAGAACTGTAGATTAAGGCTGAACGTTGAGAGATAGTAATAATAATAATAATCCTTGCATTTGATATAGCACTTTTCACGTCGTCTAGACATTTCAATGCACTTCACAGAATATACTGTAAAGTGAATTGACTGTATATTTGTGGGTGAAACGTGGCAGCCAATTGCGCACAACAGTGTCCCACAAACAGTTGTAGATTGAGTGACCAAATTATTATTATTATTTATTTATTTTTCTTGAGGGATTATTATCAGGCATGTGGAGTAAGGAAACTTGCCCAAGGTTTCGCCCTGCCTGGAATCAAACCCAAGTCTCTCGCTTGCGAGGCGAGTGCTCTAACCACTGAGGTACAGGACTCCTACCTAGGTTTTCCTTAAAGCTGGGTCACTCAGGGAATACAAACAGAAGGAATAATTTGAGGACATTTGAAATATATGAAGATTTAACAGGCAAGTATGTGATTAGCATCACAAGAAATGTATTTAAAATTTTCCAGCTCTCCATGTAAATCCTTGAAATCAGTAGAGCACATCACACATTGACTGTCCCAGACGACTCAGGTACCTTGTGTGTTCCCATTGAATTTAAGATGGAAGAGGTCTTAAATCTCTTACATCTAAAGATTGTTTTTCCAAATAAAAGAATAGATTCTTACAGAACTGTACTGAACAATATATCTCTATTCTCAAAAGAATCTATTCTTTTATTTGGGAAAAAAAATCTTTAGATGTAAGAGATTTAAGACCTCTTCCATCTTAAATTCAATGGGAACATTGAGATGTCTGGGACAGTCAATGTGTGATGTGCCCGACTGATTTCAAGGATTTACATGGAGAGCTGGAAAGTTTTAAATACATCTTAAAAGTGGAGATAACTGGACTATGGTCATGGGAGGGTGATATTTACCTCTTTCTTTACTTGCTACCTCATGCCTGAGAATAGTATTCCCTTTAAACATTCATATTCTGTAAAACGAGGGAAACAAAGTATTGTATACCTTTTCACACTTTCCTTATTCAAAGCTCTTGATCAGATGGGTTATCAGAGGAATTTAAGATAACCAACACAATGTTTGACAACACTGTTTGGTTTGTGTAACTGGTTTTAAACATGTTCTACTGGCATTTGAGGGTTGTACAATAAAGACTGACATGCAGGACTCAGCTTTCCTGAAGATCCCACTCATTTACCTGCTTTTCTAGATGATGTATAGTCCTGCTAGAATTATAGCTTTGAAAATAAAAATCCACCCCCCACACTCACCCCGTTCAGTTCCATTATTGCCTGTTTGTCGGGCGAATAACAGTATATTTATAACTTCCATTAGCTCATTAACTACTCACTGTAATTGTCTCATATTTTCTACAGTTTACATCCAATCTACACAGCTGTATTAACGGTACCATCTGTTGTTTTTATCAATGTGAGGGAATGTAGTGGGAATAATGCAGAATGAGCTCAAGTTTTCAGATTTAAACACTGAGTATACACTTAACTAGATGATTAATACCATCCATTTCCTACTTTCCAAATACTGTCAACTGTTCATCCAGTTTTCTCATTCTGGTTAATTTTAAATGCCAAAGTTCTCTTAGTTAGGTCACACTCATTACTGCTTCTCACTGTCATGTCTCCCTTTGTGTTTCAGCCACAAAACCAACACAGCCAGGATCACAAACATTTGAACATAAAAATGAAAACCTAATTTGTCCCTTCAAGTTTTTTTGGGATAAAGGAATAAATTTACATTTTTTTTATGATCTCAATTTCTCAAATAGAGCTTCAAGGAATTTCTACAGGATTATATGTAGTGACTGTTCCTAAAGCTGAATGTGGCAGCCTTTTGAATCTGCTAGGTTGCACATGCTGCAATGAGGTGAATGATCAATTAATCTGGAGGTTTGTTGGCCAGGATATCATCATAATCTATATCAAAAGGGATGTTAAAGCATTCTTATAAAAAGGTGGTTTCCATTTAAATCACGATCTTACTTGGGACCGTACAGCTCAGAAACAGAAACCGGAGATTATATCCACGAGTCAGATTTAGATGCTAGAAATTGTTAATAAGTAAAATAAAAATGTCAAATGTCCTTAATTTTTAAGAAAAAGTAACCCATTTTGATTTTTCTATGCTGCTTTGCAGAAGCACAGAATAATAATTCTGCTCAAGAAATTAGAATGTAAATCCATTTTCAAATATATTTAGTCATTGCTTGGGTTAGCTATAAGGTTAAAAATTCAAAACCCTTTGAAATCAAGCTGCAATTTATTGATGCTGAGCGATAATATAGAAAATATCAGGTGCTAGTCAATTGGCGGATTGCTTTTCCGGGAGGCAATAATCCCTTCCAAAAAAAAAATGCAGTCACTAAATCCACGACTGTTTGTGGGACTCCGCTGTGTGCAATTGTCTCCCGCGCTTCGCCAGCAAAACATAACAGTCGATTCACTTGACAGCATATTGTGTGAAGTGCTTTGAGACATCTCGAAGATGTGATTAATGCGCTGTATCAAATGCAAGGATTATTATTATTATTATGACAACAAAAATCTTGGGAAATTGGAATCGTGAATGCAATCTCAAATTCCACAGTGAGAATATTAGGGTGGGGGCGGTGGCGAACTGTCCGGACAGACAGACAGGCTGCAAAGAGTTGGAAGGGAAGGAAGAGATTTATTTTTTGTCTGGCGCACAGACAGACAGATCGACAGGGCAAGGCAGGAGAGGGCTAGTGCCCGCAGCGCGTGACTGACTGGCACTAAACAATCAACGAGACCCGAGGGGCAGGGGGTGGGCAGTGGGGGGGGGGGCCGCACAGCACCAGCCCAGTCACTGGGTGGGCGGTCACCTTGAGCTGGTCTAACACAGTCACTGCCTTTAAAACAAAATCACACGAAGCCCCAGCCCAGCCGTCTGTCTGTGTCTCCCTGTCTGTGTGTGTGTGTCTCCCTGTCTGTGTGTGTCCCTGTCTGTGTGTGTCCCTGTCTGTGTGTGTCTGTGTCTCCCTGTCTGTGTCTCCCTGTGTGTGTGTGTCTCCCTGTGTGTGTGTGTGTCTCCCTGTCTGTCTGTGTCTCCCTGTCTGTCTGTGTGTGTCTCCCTGTCTGTGTGTCTCCCTGTGTGTGTGTGTCCCTGTCTGTCACCTGTCTGTGTGTGTCTGTCTCCCTGTCTGTGTGTGTCTCCCTGTCTGTCTGTCATCTGTCTGTGTGTCTGTCTCCCTGTCTGTCTGTCATCTGTCTGTGTGTGTCTGTCTCCCTGTCTGTCTGTCACCTGTCTGTGTGTGTCTCCCTGTCTGTCTGTGTGTCTGTCTCCCTGTCTGTGTGTCTCCCTGTCTGTCTGTCACCTGTCTGTGTGTGTCTCCCTGTCTGTCTGTCACCTGTCTGTGTGTGTCTCCCTGTCTGTGTGTCTGTCTCCCTGTCTGTCTGTGTGTCTCCCTGTCTGTCTGTCACCTGTCTGTGTGTGTCTCCCTGTCTGTGTGTCTGTCTCCCTGTCTGTCTGTGTGTCTCCCTGTCTGTCTCCCTGTCTGTCTGTCACCTGTCTGTGTGTGTCTCCCTGTCTGTGTGTCTGTCTCCCTGTCTGTCTGTGTGTCTCCCTGTCTGTCTGTGTGTCTCCCTGTCTGTGTGTCTGTCTCCCTGTCTGTCTGTGTGTCTCCCTGTCTGTCTGTGTGTCTCCCTGTCTGTGTGTCTCCCTGTCTGTGTGTCTGTCTCCCTGTCTGTCTGTCATCTGTGTGTGTCCCTATCTGTCTGTGTGTATGTGCCGCAAAGCAAGTCAGTGGTTATTTCACGACAGCATCGACGGAAATGCTTTGACTCTCAGTCCCGCCCCCTCCCCCCCTCCGCCGCCGCCGCCGCTCACGGTAAGTTCGGGTTCGGGTCGGCGCTCGGCGATTGTCGGCCATTTCCGGAGAGGGGGAGGCGCGGCGCCATTTTGTGTGCACATTCTCGGGCGGTCGTTCACTTCCAACCCTCGGCTAATCCGGCAATGGACGGGTGAGTGGCGGCGACAGCGGCGGCGGCTTCCCTTTCCCCTCTCCACAACCACCGCCGCTTTGTTTATTTTCCCTCATCTCCCAACCCGGCTGGATAGAAAGCGTCTCTCCCCCCCCCCCTCTCTCTCTCTTCCCCCCCCCTCCTTCCCTCCCTCTCCTCCTCCTCCCTCTCTGGGTGAGACGTCGTGTGCGGTTGGTGTGGCTTCTGGGCGGCCCACGTCTCCCCCGGAGAGGCGGCGGCGGCGGCGTGTGGTGCGGTCTGGATACGGAGGTCACTTGCTTCCCCCCCTTTTTTCTCCCCTCCCTTCCCCCCCCGCCCGCGCACACTGCCCTTTTCTCTCCCTCTTTTACCGCCAACGGCACATCCGCCCGTCCCTCCCTCCCTCCCGCCCGCCTCCGGGAAAAAGGGGAGAAATAAAGGTGGGGGGACGACGACGACGCCGCCGTCGTGAAGGCCGCAGTGTTTGTGCCGGAGAGGAGGAGGAGGGGGTAACTAGGCCGCTGTCTCCCTCCCTCCCTTTACACTGCAGCTGAATTCCCCCCCGTCTCCCCTCCCCCTCCCTCTCTCTCTCCCTCTGCCTCTCCACCCCCTCCTCCAGACACGAGGGAGGGCGATTATTATTTCCCCCTCTTTTAAATATACATTTTGATTTGCCCCCGTCCCTTCCCCCCCATTTTAAAACCATTTAAAAACCCGTTAATGCTTATTCATCATTTAATGGGGAATCTCTTCCCTTTGTGCTGGGTCTCCTCTTGTTGTGTGTGTGTGTGAGTGTTGTCTATTTATGTGTGTTGTCTGTGTCTGAGTGTCTGTGTCTGTGTGTGTGTGATGTGTGTATTTCTCAACGCACAATGGACGAGGCGGTTACTGAGGGGAGAAAGAAATGCCGTGCGTGTGCGCGGCTGGCAGGCGGCAGCCATAAGGCACCCAGGCCCTCAGCCATGGCAGGAGGCCAGGGCTGTGCAGTCAGCAAAATGCTGGACCCGCATCGAGTCCCAGGGACTGAAGTCGTGGTGTTATACAGAAAAGCCAATCAGTCAGTCAATCAGACAAACACAAACAACAGCGGAAATGTTTGCAAAGAGCGAGCGTGTGCTTCACATAACACGGTTTTTACATAACCACAGTCTCTCTCTCTCTCTCTCTGGAATTGCATTACTAGACGATTGTGTGTGGAGCGAGTGAACGATGCGTGGGAGGACATTCTGATTTAGATTTTTTTTCCCCCTCCTCCTTGTTCTCCCCCCTTCCCTTTCCTTCATACAGCATTCTCACTGATGTTACAGTTGGCTTAAAGGTAGGCTTTATCTTATTAATTTGCTAAGTATGGCTGTTCCCCCCCCGCCCCCCCCCCCCCGACTCATTTCATCTTTGTACCCATTAAGGAATCATTCAGCACATTTGCAAGTGGATTTGATCAACACAAAAGGGTTGCATTGTTAACGTGCAGGTTTAGTATTCACATGTGGCATTTTGAACCCATTTTAAATTTCATGCTTGAGCTCATTTTCTTGTATATTATAGCTTTAGAATTTGCGACTGATCCCATTGGATGTGTTTTACTGACAGTCTCGTGATATTGTACTGCAGCAGAACACAAACCATTTTGTATTGATTACTAATTTCTACATTCATTAGTATTGGGTGCCAATTCTACTGATGTACACTTTGAATACGAAAACTTTCAGATTCTAAGTTAGTCTGGCAAAACATAGACCTCGATAAAACATAGAATAATTTAGAGTCTAAGCCAATAATAATAATAATCCTTGCATTTGATATAGCACCTTAACAAGACATCTCAAAACTCTTCACAGGATATACTGTAATGGGTTGTGTGTCAATATCCTACAGAATATTGACTACCTTATGGGCAAAACACACAGCAATGTCCCACAAATAGCCATGGAGTGAGGGACCAATTTTATCTGGGGATTGTTGACTAGGATACCTTTCTCTTTTCGAGAAGTGCCATGGGATCTTTAACGTCCACCTGTCCAGGCAGACGGACGTTAAAGTCTGTTCAATGTATCATCAGAAAGACCACACCTCTGACAATGCAACATCCCTTCCCACCAGCATTGCATTGGAGTGTTATGTTCTTAGACTATACAATTCCAAGTGCTGATGTGGGGCTTGAACCCACAACCTTCTGAATCAGAGGTGGTACCCAGTGATTCCAGTAGGCCAGGCTGACACATGAAAGGGATCAGCCTTTCCCTGGATATCTCCTCCATGTCTGAAGCATTTGCCAAGACTCTGTCCTAATGGTATCTGGAATGTTTCACTGAGGCTATTGTGTTGTTTTTAAAAAAACTTCAATTTGGAAGCATGCATGAATTTACTTTAAATTTTCATTGCTATGTTCAGCTGGTTCCTCTGGTGTATGGTGAACCAGGAGGCAGTGTGCATTTATTTGCTCACATTACCATCCCTATTATGGAGTGCTTTTGAGTTCAGAAAATTATTTATGCAAATTCTGATAGTTTGGTACCAATCTGTTTTTAATAAATTTTATCGTGTTTTTGTCTGCATAATAATCTGTATGGTATGTATTTTTTATTTCCAGATGATTATTTCATTCTTTTATTAATTTAGGTTTTGTTTGCCTTATAATTCAGTTACTGGAATGTTTCTCCTGGTTTACCTGATTTATATTAATTTCCTGTAAAATTTATCCCTAGATTCAAATTAATTGGTTAGTCATCTCACTGTTTATGGAATGCTGTTGGCTCAGATTAGCTGCTGCATTTGCTTATATAACAACTGTAGTTTAATTTCAAGTCAGCTATATATTTTATGTGAAAGGTCTTTTATTTCTATCTCCACTGTAAATGCTATGGCTTTGTCCTCTTGGACCCAGAGGTAGACAAAATTAGAGTCACAAAGAATTTTGCTGCTGGTGATTTGTGTGGGCATTGCTAGCATTGGAGAACTAGTCCCAATTAATGTCTTTAAAAATAATCTGTAAAATTGGTCTTGTCTCTCCAAGCTCTCCTCCCACCCAACACTATTCAGCTTCACAATTAATTATTAATTATAGCCAAGAGGAAGATATTACAAGAGATCTTGGCACCTGTAGAAGTTTTGGGGATCAGCCAGGTGTCTGACACATGCGGAAACCCTTCACCAAACTTAAGTATCCAAACCATGATGAAGTCTAAAAGTGAAAAGTACAAACTGAATTTAAAAGGTTCATTTAATTGGTCATATTCTTCTAGAATTTCTTCAAGTGAAGAAAAATGATCTGTGTGACTGGGCATAATTGGTATCCAGTGGGAAAGAGATGGAAATTAAAACTGTTAGACCAATGGTTAATTGAATTAATTAATGGAATACTGGACTGCCAGTAAACATTGCCTTTTGTATTTGAAAAAGCTACAGTTCTTCAAGCACTTTCTATTTGAGGGAAATAGTTTTGTTGCATGGTAAACCAAATTAGGTAATGCCACTGCTTCCTCAAGATTTATGCACTTAAAACATGAGTTTCCACAGGCAGAAGAATTGGACATGCTTTTTGATGCTTGGAGAGGAAGGAGAATTGGTAGTTTAGCCTATTGTATGGTTACAAAGTGTTTTTCCTTTCAGTATGTTGTGTGAACATTTTCCAGGTATTGGCACTTGTACAAATCCAACGTCATGAACTGCAAGTTAGCAAGTGTGTTTGTAGTTATGTTTTGGCTGCTGTGGAATTGGCCATGCAGTATAAACATAAAACAATATAAAAGTCCCCAGGATTTAAGATTGTGACATTTTACAATGACAGCTGCAATTCTTGAAGTTCAATTAATGTTAAATAGTGGCTTTTGTATTTTGCTTGGGAATGCTTTTAAAGCCTTGCGAGAGTGTAGTTCATATATTTAAATAGTTAAGATTGTTTATAGCCAATGGATGGATTTGAATGGCAATAAAAGATCAACTTGTAGAAAGCAATCTTGTGTGATTTAACATTTATTCAGTTCATTGAATTAAAACTACTTTTTATATACTAGTGATCTCTTTATCTTGATCACATTTAGTTTGGATTCATATTTTTAATATAAAAGCTTGCTAATTGTTCTCACCATTGTGCTATTATTTATTTGCATGATTTCTACTGGATTCAGTTCCATCAAAGGCACTGTATACTGAACAGCTTAGTAATTGAGCTAATTTTATCAAATTCTTCTAACATTTATTCGGTACATTTTACTACAAGGCCTTGGTTTAATACTGTCTTCCAGTGTGATGAATGCAACCTGGGCAGCTTTGGATTCTTGCATATACATCAGTCCCATCATATGATTGCATTTAAATGGGACTCATTAAATGGGACTGCATTTTGTAAAAGTTTTCAAAATGAGTAACAAAATTTTGATTTGAAGTGATAGGTTAAACATAATTGAGAAATCTGGTTATATAATGTGACGCATAAATCTTGCAATCATTATTTTGTATATACACTTCATCAAATTTGGTGAGACATTTAAAATCCCAATAGTATCGGCTTTGAATTTTAGCAATCTACTGCTAAATGTTTTGTTCACTGTACAATTTTTTTTGGTCTATCATTAATTACTTTTAGCCAAATCTTGGTAATCATAAGGGCTGCAATATAATCGCAGTAGGTTCATAGGAACCATGATTTAAATTTCTTGGTGCAAAAGGGTTTTTCTGGATACTTGTAGCTGAAAAGTTATAAATTTTTGTTTTTGTTTCAGAGGGGATCTGAAGAACTTTCCAGCGCCGTTCTCAACAGTCCAAATTCTACCATGAGCAGTGTGGTTGTTACTGGTAAGTTGAGAATGCAAATATTGGCAGCTAATTAATCTCCAATTTTTGAAAGCTGCTCTTACCTCCAAAATAGTTGGAAGGAAGACACCTTAATAGACTTTGGAAATTAGATTTTTTAAAATTAATAGCAAAGTATAGAAAAGACAACAGAAGAGAGAACTGCGAGTGAAATTTGGTCAAAAGAAAGGAGAATGGAATAATAAGCAGAATTTGTATTTAATGTGCTTAAAATTTTAATGGTATTTTTGGGTTAATATGGTGGTAAAACTATTCTAGTATTTTACAGAAAACAGTGGCATCAAACATTTGCATAGCATAGTTTTTTTTAATCATGACAAAGAAAACATTTAATGTTTTGATATTAAAGGTTTATCCAAAGCCACAGACTTCTCATTCTCTTTTCAAACTTTCTTACAAAAGGAGTTGAACAATTTACTTATACAGCTAATGGCAATGACAGCAAGAAATTTAAAGGTGATGACAAGATGATTGCTTCTCCATCTCGTGTCCTCCATATTCGGAAGCTGCCAAGTGAAGTGATGGAGACTGAGGTCATAGCACTGGGCTTACCGTTTGGGAAAGTAACCAACATTCTCATGTTGAAAGGGAAGAATCAGGTATGTACCAAGATGGAATGAATTGTTGGTTAAGCGATAGTGTTTGTCACTTCACTTGACTAATTCTGTAACAAGCTTTGAAATGTTTTGAAAATTATCTATATATATATATTAATGATATATTGTTTTGAAAACAATAAACGTTCTTTCTTAATACATTAATTAGGATAAAACTAATGTGCCCAATGGAAGTTTGCTTTTAGTACTTGCAACTACTGTTGGAAGTAAAATTTGGCTTGCGATAAATTACTTTGCTATTGAGGTGAAGTTTTGTGCAGCAGGTTCAGCTGAACAAATGAATTGGCACATCCCACTCTGCAAATGTTGCCTATAGCATCTGAAAACAAAGTTGACCACATTGTTGTACATCTATGTAGAATTTGATACATTAGTGCATTTCATATAAAATAAATCACAGGTAGAACGTTAGGTAACAATTGCATCAAGGTACTTAGCTTTAGTATGCTTTCTAAAGTTTGATGCTTTTTGATGCTTTTTGCAAGTAATGTTCCTATATTGCAGGCTTTCTTGGAGTTGGCTTCAGAAGAAGCAGCTGTCACCATGGTGAACTACTATACTGCGGTCACTCCTCATCTTCGTAACCAACCCATCTACATCCAATACTCAAATCATAAAGAACTGAAGACAGACACGGCTTTGAACCAGGTTGCTATTTAATTTAATACATGAGTACCTTGCATTCCTGTCTTTTACTTAAATCATCAATGTTTGCAGTTTGTAGAACTTTATGTACGAAATACGCTAAATGTATTGTAGTTATAGAATTGTGTCAGTAAATTTGACCTCATTGGTAGCCTTGCAAAGTAATGTGACTGTTTGTGGTATTCTGTGCTCAACAGAATTTCACTAAAAGATGTTTTTAATCAATAAATGCACGAGAAGATGAAGTCAATTTTGATATTCTTTAGTTTAGTGCCTAATTTAGTGACTCAATTATATATAATAATAATGAATAAAAGTAATAATCCTTACATTTGCTTACACATCAGGAGGACTTCTCAAAAACATTATGGGATATACTGTAAAGTGTTGTGACTATTGTGTAGGCAGATACAGTAGTAAGCATTGTGATAATTCGAAGTGGCAGTCCACTGGTTCATCTATCCTACCCAGCTAATTTCCCAGAAGATTCCTTTGATTTATGTTCCTCTTTAAATGTATTAACTGAAAGTTAAGGCAAGATATAGAGAAACTTTCTTATGGCATCTAGAACTTATTGTGGAATGAACTGTTCACACTTTAATTGGCACATTTACCATTTCTTACAGCGGGCCCAAGCAGTTCTTCAAGCTGTAACTGCTGTGCAGACAGGAGGTACTCCTCTTACTGGGACTACAATCAGTGAGAATGCAGTGACGCCACCTCAGAGCCCAGTGCTCAGAATAATTATTGATAACATGTACTATCCAGTTACCCTGGATGTACTTTATCAGGTATGTCTTTAAAAAGTTGCCTATTTTTTGTGTGGTTTTTAAATTTTGAAGCATTATTATAAATGCATATTGTTAAATATAATTGCTTTTTTTAGATTTTTTCCAAGTTTGGGTCAGTTATGAAGATCATAACCTTTACAAAAATAATCAGTTCCAAGCACTGCTGCAATATTCAGAGCCTCTGAACGCACAGCAAGCAAAACTGGTAAGCAAAGATGCTAGTATTTTCCATTATTTTCCTTCATTCATATCCATATTCATAGCTGCAAAGGAGGGATCAGGTTCTGTGGGTTGAGTTCCTGATGCCTGTGATCTTTAAATTAGACTATTTTCTACTCATCTAGGAAGTGTCGCTTATAAACCAACCACAAGTTAGTCAAATATGTGCATTATCTAAAAACTTGACTACTATGATGTGTAAAATAGAATTTTCTATTAATATGTATAATTAAGTAAATCGTCCTTTCCTTTGACATCTTGCCTTTCCCACTGCAAAAACATCTCAAATCGTTTTGCACGATTCACTGTAATGTGCAGTGGCCATTTTGTTGGCAAATATGGCAGCCAGTTTACATACAGCAATGTCCCATAAACAGCCATGAAGTGAATGACAATTTTATCTGGAGGGTTGTTAGTCAGGACACAAGGAGAATCTATATTTTCATTCAATACCATGGGATCTTAAACATCCACCTGAACAGGATTCTGCTCATAGAATTCCCAGAAGCAAGATTATAAGCCTGGCATTTATAAACCATCTTAGCCAGCAAATTTGGACGAGGCCAAGTTGCAATGCATGAAATTTACCACTATGGTATATTGGAACAGAGTAGTTTCTTGATTCTGCTGATGCATGCCACTGAAGATGGACTAATGTTGCTTTTGGGTAATTGGGAAAGTGAAGGGTTCCCTGAGGACTCGAGTTAATGAATTAGAATAAAGTATATTGTTGTGCTTCTAATTCTATATATTGAGTTCTTTCTTCAGTTTGACTATTGGTTTATGAAGTGCAACATTTTTAATATATATATTTATAAAATAGTTTGTTCTGACAATACTTGGGTTAAGATTTTGCGTCTTTTAGTCCCATAGATGTGAATTCTTGGGTGTATACTTATTGATTTTCTTTCTTCTGAATGCTTGTTGTAACTGTTACAGTCTCTGGATGGCCAGAACATTTACAATGCTTGCTGTACACTGAGGATTGATTTTTCCAAGTTGGTGAATTTGAATGTGAAGTACAACAATGACAAGAGCCGTGACTATACACGTCCAGAGCTACCAGCTGGTGATGGGCAGCCAACTATGGATCCTGCCATTGCTGCGGCCTTTGCAAAGGAGAACTCTCTTCTTGGTAGGGATGTTACCAGCAACCTTACCTTTAATCACTTTTTCAAAGGAAAAAAACCTATTTATTTACTTCTTGTTTACTGTGTAATTAATTGTGTTTAACATTTTGGAGCATTTGGGTGGCATGAGATTAGACCCACATGCTTCAGGCATATCCATTTTAACTTGGAACTAGTGGTTAGTGTACTAATATTGCCAGATTATCCTCCATCTTAAAAGTGACAATGGTTGTCTAGAAGAAGCCAAGTGTTTATTTTTGGACCAGTTCAGAATTACAGAAAATTATCATGCAGATTTTCAAAAAGCCTCAATTTAAAGATGGCCTATGCAACATATTCCCTTTACAAGTATAATTTAATGTAAGGATTGTTTTGGGAAAATTTGTGTTGGCTGGCTGCATAGTATTTAATAGTGATATTTAATAATAAGGTATTTAACAGTGCCTTATCACGTCAGTGTTGCAGATCACTTCAGAGTTTTTCTGTAAAGTGTAGGCAAATGGAGCAACTAATTTGCATGTAACAATGTCTCACAAATAGCCAAGAGAAGTTAAAATGATACTTCACAGAATATTTCACAAAGAGCATCTTTAAATTAAGACTTTCTGAAAACCTGCATGATTTTCTATAATTCTGAACCTGTCCAAAAAATCAATACCAGGAGCCAGGGAGAAGCCTCTTTTTTAAATAGTACCATGGGATCTTTAATGTCCATTGAACAGGCAGACAGAAACCCACATTTTGTTTTTAAAAAATGAGAAAGTGTTTACACTTTTGGGTTTTTTTTTCAACCAAGTGGATGGTAATTTTCCGAAGCATCAAAATGGTGAGAGGTTAGTAACCAAGATTTATTTCTTTATACCTGGATGTTTTTAGGTACCCCTGCAGGAATGATGGCTGGTCCATACAGTGGAGGAACTGGATTTCCATCTTCATTCGGCTTTGCACAGACTGCAGGTTTGATTATTTCTAATCAAAACCTTAATTGTGCATTCCAAGCGTTTTTTTGGAAAAATAAGTGTTTATTCAATGGTCTAAACACTATTTTCCAAAAAATGCACTTTTTGTGAAGGATTCATGATAATCCGTGCATTTCATATGGCACCTATAGTGTCAAAACATTTCAAAGTGCTACATAGAGATTTGCTGTGAAGTGTAGTGACTATTTGTAGGCGAACAATATTAATTTATGCCTGTCATTACCCATGCAACAAGCTTCTAGAATTTGGGAGAGGGGAGAAAGGGGTGAGACTTTTTGTCAAAAGGAAAATTGAAGGGCAGGTAAGCAAGCTGAGTTATTGTTGAGATCATCCCGGTAATTTGTTGAAGAGCACATCGCCTGAGGGTCTCTGCCTTAGTTGAGCATGGGTGGAGAGATCAGTACAACTCTTATTTGAAGTGTTTGTCAAGATGAAACTGAACATATTTTGATCATATAGGAGTGATAGTTTTATTTAAAACATGTTCTTTTTCTGGTTTGTAGCTGTTCCAGGATCCTTGAGCCCGTTGGGTATTTCTGGTGCTGCTGCTGCAGCTGCTGCTGCTGCTGGGCGTGTGGCAATGTCTGGAGTTGGTTCTGGTAACCACAGTGTCCTCCTGGTCAGCAATCTGAACGATGAGGTAATTATTTGTTCCTTTATAAACATTTTTCACTTGTTCATTCATCTAACATGCAAGCTTGTCCAATTTTGTTTCTTAATCGTTGTCTTGTTCATTTTTATGCAGTCAACATTTTCTGTATTTGACAAAGTCTAAATTATAGACCCAAGAAGTTTACAGACCTTTTGTATTTTAACAAATAGCATTCAACTGAGAATGCAATGGCATTCAACTGAGAATGCAACAGCAATCAACATTTAGCAACACATTTTTGAATAAATACATTAATTTTTAGATCCAATTTGCCAGAAACTGCAGCTGGAAATGCAGTATGACCATTTAGCATTCGTGTACAAAGTTATCCTTGAACTCATTTGAAATTTGGATTTAAATTTTGATTTTTATCTGCCTTGAACAAGTGTATAGATCACCAATCAAGTTGCGTAAGCTGATGTAAAAAAAATATTGAATAACATTCAAATTGGGTCAAGTAAAGGATCGAGGCATGAAAGATGTCTGATTCATTTTTTTTGTCTTTCTGCTTAATTGTTATGCTTGCATTGCATATGTTGTTTGTAATAAGTATTGCTTTATGTAAACTACTTTTTCTTTGAAGTTTCTTTCCAAAGAACCCGATGAGGGACTCTTCCCTGTCTTTGCAGTGTTTGTTTTCTTTGTGGATGTTAGTTATGCTCTCTGAACATATTCTTCCTTACACTTTGCGAATCTTTAATGTGAAAAGCTGGTTCTTGGGCTTTTTTTTCCCTCAAAGGTCAAGTTGTACTCATTTTCTCTTTAATTTCCTTTTTGGCTTTTAACAAAAGCTGGTATGAAATGTGGGAAACATGGTTTTAATCTGAGCACTCCACATGAGAAGTTGTGCAAGTTCTGTCTTCATATCATTCAAATTCACCTCTTTGGATTTAAATGTTAGTCATTTGTTGTGTTGGTAGTATCCATGCTACATTTTCACATGCTGTTAACGTGTAATGTTTGAATTAGAGTGCTTTTCAGAAAATGGTTCATTTGCTTACATTTCATACCTGGCCATATTTTTATAGTTAACTTCCAAGTTTTTACTTTTTTTGTGCATGCTTTGTTTTTTTCTCTCATAATATGAAGTATTGTAATTCTTTGATTATAAATGTACTTTACCCACTTTTTTTTGTCTTGGGTGACTACATTCAACCTATTTTCTTGTAAAGTACATGAACCAGCCATTTTCTGACCAAACTCCTGCATTTCCTATGTACTGACCTATATTTTTTGTTTTGTTCCCAAATCCTTGTTTTTCTTCTGCATTGCTCCATCCCTCCCCATACCATCCCTGTTTCTTACCCTGTGTGTTCCTTTCACGTTTCCCTCCCCTCCCAATACCAATCCTTTCTCCTTCCATACCCACTTCATCCCTTGTGTTCATGCTTATGTGCTTGAACAAAATGTTCCTCGGACCAACTTGCCCCAATTAACTGCCTTGAACCATGATCCATGACCACCTCACCATTCTACGGGAACCACCCTTCGTTATGGATGATCTGTTCATCTCCGCTCTTCCTCGATTCTTCTCTCTTCCTGTCTTACGCTGCTTGCTCTTCTCTCCTTCTAAAGATGGTTACGCCCCAAAGTCTGTTTACCCTCTTCGGTATGTTATCGTTAGCACTATACTTTTTATTATTATTGATTTTAAATTTTTCACCTTAGTTCTTATTTGTAGCTAGCAATTCAGCTTACAGTTGAGTAGATAATCTTCTGCTACTTTTTTCTTTTGCTGTAATTCTTTCCATAGATGCAACTTTATTTGTGATAATGGGTGCTAAAAATTATTTTGCATGTTCTTTAATTTAGTTTCACTTCACATTAGCTTTGAGGGATTTTCCCAGGAGTTTTCTCTTCAGATAATCACTATGCTAAATCCTGATTTGTTGTATTCATTTTGGTTGAGTGAAAACTTTGTTCACGTTAATGTCTGATCTAAATGTTTCATCAAGTTTTAAGCAATTTTCAGTATTTTTCTTCACTCTTCCACTCTGCAAAGGTGTTTACGGTGATGTGCAGCGTGTGAAGATTTTGTACAATAAGAAAGACAGTGCTCTTGTACAAATGGCTGATGTAAACCAAGCGCAGTTGGGTAAGGTTCTGTATACAATTAATCATACTTGGAATTTTGACTTTTTAGGAAAAATAAACTCACTAAATCACTTTTCCTTTATTAGCGATGAGCCATTTGAATGGTCAGAAAATGTATGGGAAGATTATTCGTGTTACATTGTCCAAACATCAGACAGTTCAACTGCCCCGAGAGGGCCTAGATGATCAGGGATTGACTAAAGATTTCACCAATTCCCCTCTGCATCGTTTCAAAAAACCTGGATCCAAGAATTTCCAGAATATATTTCCTCCTTCTGCCACTCTCCATCTTTCTAATATTTCGTAAGTAACCAAATTAAGCACAACATTTGCATGAACTGAACATCAGCACCTTGGGATGTCCTCCTGACGTGAAAGGCGCTTTACAAATGTAACATTGTATATAGTGTTATTTTACATATCAAAATTGGTTTGTTTTAACAGACCAGCCATCGATGAAGATGATATCAAGGCACTCTTTATAAATACAGGTGGCAACGTGAAAGGTTTTAAGTTTTTCCAGTAAGTATTTCTCCTTTGAGGTGTGGGTCCACGTGCAAATATAAGGTGATAGCGTTTTATTTTATATGTTGACTGTTTAGTTAAAATTAGTCATTTCACTAGTTAGTAAGATATATTTGTGAGGAGATGTTTTTAGTTGAGATTTGTGTTGTAAAATGAATTAACAAGCAATCATAGAAGTAATTCACTGTAGGCATAGTACCTTGTTAATTTGGTTTGCTACAACTTTTTTAGTAGTGATCTCAGGTCATGAATGTTTAGCCAAAACTTAACACCATTGTATTGTTTTTTGGGGTACAATACAAATGCAAATGCCTTCACAAATTAATAAGTGGACTAAAGTATTGCTAGGAAATAAACTTTGATAGTATGTAAATTGTAAAGCTACAAACTTCCATATTTGAAGTGTACTTTCCTAATTTCATACTTTTGTTCCTGTAGAGATCACAAAATGGCGCTGCTTCAGATGTGTTCTGTGGAAGAAGCCATCCAGGCATTGATTGATCTGCACAATTATGATCTTGGGGAAAACCATCATCTGAGAGTTTCCTTCTCTAAATCAACCATCTAGCTTGCCCAGAGAGAGCACTCAGTTTTGTTTTGCAGTTAATCATAGACTTGTTTCAGGGAGGTGGGACCAGAGTTAACAATTCCATCTGTTTTGTCATTCCTTCATCCACCTTTGTGATATTCAGATTTGGAGGGATGAGCAATCGCGAGAGGGAGCTGAGGAAATTGACGAGCTACTGTAGGAGAAGAGAAAAAAAAATCTTGTTTAGAGAAGCCATTCATTTTTGGTTCATAATACAGGATTTGAATATCCCCATGTATTTAGTAGAAACATTTGACAAGAAATGTGCCTTACCTTAAAAGTTAAACTTGTATTAATAAGTTGAATATACTATGGAAGTGAAGCTGGGGCCTTCTTTTGGGCACATGGTTGGAGAATTTCAGAAATAGTGGGAGTATTGTGTAAATGTTAGCACTAATTAGTCTTGCTTGTTGCTGAATATACATTTTTGTAGGTGTTGTTGGAGTTGACATTGCAAATTGCTTGTGTATTTGTATTACCATCTTTAGTTTGTAATTAAGGATTGAAATTATGGCTGTGGACTTTTGAGCATGTGCAGTCAAGTCTAGTTAGTTTAAAAAAAAATTGACTGGTGCATGTGTCATAGAAAGGCAAAGAAAAATGCTTCAAAGTAAGGGGCAATAAAAATAGTTTTGCTGGCAGTTTTCTAAAACGGACAACCAGGTGGGACCAAAGTTTATGTGCCTTTAGTCTTAATTTACCTTGCATTGTAATATTCAGTTTCAATGAACCTCTTCAAGATATTTTGTATTTGAATGGGAAACAGACATTAATATAAACATGGTTCTGTACCTTCAAGTAAGAGGAATTGTATGAGTAGAATTCATTCATTGTCGGTTACACGTGTTGTCAACTTAAGTAGTTTAAATGACCAAGAACTTATCAGATCTGTGTATAGCATAATTCATATGCATAGAATCTGTGGACAATGTAGCAAAAAGGTCATGTATATTTTCTATATTAGTTATGTTTTTACATCTTGATCTTTAGCAATGTAAATTTCAGTATAGTTTGAAAAAGGCACAATTAAAATTAATTTTCTAACAAAATTGGGATGTTTGATGGTTCTGTTGATTTGATTTTTCTCTGTGTACTCTGTTTGCTTGCCTGTAGCATGCCTAATAAATACTTCTGTAGCTCTATCCTCCTCTTCTGTTTTTCTGTACTGCTTTTCCTCACTTCTCTTGTATGTCTTCACCTCATTAAGCTTCTGACTTCATGGTTAATACTCTTAGGGTGGAACCTTTTGTTTTTTTTAAAAAAAAACTTGAATTTTCTCGTTCGTTGTTCCAGTTTGGATTTTGTGGCACTAGTTTTGCTAAAAACATGTTTTTGTTATTACCAAATTTAACTTGTGCCAATGGAGTATTTCAAAATTTGGAGTGTTTGCAATGCTAATAACCGGACCTTGAAATTCTACTGCTTCTGGAGTTTTCTGGAAAAGTTAACTTTGACTAAAGTGCTCCGTTTTGAAATCTTCCATTTTATTTTGAACAAAATTCTGCCTCTAAAAATGGAAATGACACAAATCATTCCTTATCTAATCCTCATGATATTACTATAATGCTGATTTAGATATTAGATCTCAAATGCTTATTGTTGGTTTCAGAATTAGTGCTACCGGTGTGTAGATGGCCCCTGATTATCCACTCTCCTAAGTTATATGCAGTAATGAGGAATGTGGATAATTAATTTACCTCCTTGGCTCATCACCCAATCCTTTTACCTTCCTCATTCCAAATGCAAATTGCAATAGTATCTTCCAAGACAAAAGCTAAATTTTTTTTAAGGTTGAAGAATTTAAAAATCCCACTCCGGTAACTTACGCTCAGAAGGCTCTGCTGAGATCTTGCTTCCAGGAAGCTGAAATTGTGGCATCCTCATTTATCTCAAAGGGCGAGACATTCCTCAAAACTTATTTATTAACATGGTATTTAATTTTTTTATGCAATCTAGTATTTTAAATTAGAATGTAAATTTTGTTGATGCTCAATCTCTTGATATGTACCTATTTAATTGTAAGTTCAATGTCATTTTAATTTTTGAATTTTTATAGCAATATGAAATATACAAGGAAATCATCAGTTCTGAATTCACTAATTTTAAACTATTTAAAAGCTAAATTTGATTGCCTTTTAATCCATATAAAGTGAGCTAGATAGATATGTAGTTAGCTATCCTTCAAAATTTAAATCGAATAAATTACAGTTATGAGAAAGGTGTAAGCAATGGCATTGCATTTTTTCTTTATATTTAATCATGTATAAATTGCCCTGCATTATCAGGATATTACAAAACTACTTTTGTCATATGCAGTGGAATTCTTTTTTTATATAAAAAGCAGGAATGAAGTTTAGATCTCCCATCTTGATTTTACTTGCATTTGTTCAACAGAATTTTAGCACATACTAACTTCCAATTAGCTCATTGCTTTCTATCTTGTGGTTAGAATTAAACTGCAAAAATTAATAATATTAATTTTTCATATGATGTTTCTTGATCAATTACTGTCTATACAGTTGTATAATATCTTCTGTTTTAGGAACATTTGATTAATTCATTAAGTGAAATTTTATTTAAAAATATTGTGATTCCTACATTGTTTTTCTGTGGAAAATGAGTCACGATCAGGATTAGGATGCGATCCTTATTAAATTTAGTCCAGTTATGAGGGTAGCGCATTGCCGTTCAAATGGTGTCAGAACAGGATATTTCAGCCAAAATATTTGCTTAGTTAAATCTTTATATTTTATACAATTATTCTAGTAAATTGATGATTCATCTAAAAAAAACTAATACTGTAATATTTTTGGTATAGCAGCAGAACTCGCATTATGTTTCAAGCTGTTGCTACAAATGCAAGGATTATTACTATTACAACACTGGGAATATGGTTTAGCTTTAGAATAAAATATGCTGTTATTTTAACACATCTGCTGTGAAAACGTGATCACTTAAAATATTGCAGAGAATTTAACAATTCTATTCTACACTTTTATATTTAATAAAAAAATATGTCTGTAGTTGCAGATTACATATTAGTTTGAAGTGATAAATTATTCATCTAAATTTTGCGGGCACCAACTAGACCCGTTGAAAGTTTAGCCTAATCATTTCTGCAATTCATGGATTCAGCCACGTATGGTTTGGACAGGCAATATTTCAGGAACTTGTATGTGATCATTATATTGGAAAGGACGTAAAGGAAGCTTGTCTAGGTTTGAATTTTGTGTAATGTTAGTTTCTCGATGCTTTTTTGTGAGGAATAACCTTCCTTGTAAGCCTGTATTCTGATGATTAAGAATAATGCTTTTCTCCTATCATTCATTGTGCTCCTGTTGCATTCAAAGGTTGATGCCACCTGATCACTTGACAGGTTATTCATGTACTACAGCTTAAACGTTCAGGGAAATTGCTAGGTATGGCCTTTAGTTTGTGCTTATAGAATCACAAATTGCATCATTCATGCACATAGCATTGCAAACAAAGTTTGAGGCCAGTTTAATTTGTGGCTGCGATGTTTAAATTTGAAATGTAAAAAAAAGAATTGTGTTGGGAGTTTTTTTGAAAAATAAAGTTAAATACGTAGGGAATAAATGCCAACAAATCATTTAGAATACAAATCAACTATAACTCCATTTAATGGCTCATTTGTAAGTAATCTCATCTACTCTATCCATTTCATCTAAAATGCAGTTTTCCTGATCTTATCTATTTCTCACTTCTATTTCTGTCTTTTGCTATTTACTAATTTTCTTATTTACTCATCTATTGAGTAAAATGAGATTTGGTATTTACTCAAATGAATTTACATCAAAATGTTGCCTTATTAATGTATGAAAATGCTCAAAGGAAAATATTCAAGGTAAGCAAGAAATAAATTTGTAATTGCTTTACGCAGGAGAAATACTGCTAATTTGTGGGTGATGTGTTCTGGTTATAGTGAATGCCAACGTAATGCCACAATTAGCTTGGCTGGTGAACAAAAATAACACTGGACTTGTAATTGGGTGATATTTTTTGGTTAACCAATGTCACCTTGCAATGGAAACAATATTGCAAAGTAATTTTTGGGAGTTAGATGATTGAATATCCATTGACCTATAAAGTGTATATTAATGTAAAATTAAAATTATACGTCAAGGGTTCTCAAATAATAGGTTATGGTCCAGAAATGAATTGTGGGTGCATTTTATCCAGACGGCACTCAATTAGTTACTCAGTGGTAACCCATTTTGATATTGATAAGGTAGTTGACTTGAGTAAGTGCAATTTGTCTATATAATTTGGAATATCTGAACTGGTATAATCTCATTATTACCCAATAGGAGAGCTCTACTTGATTGTGGCTGAACAAATGTTTTCATGCTGCTTTAGAGGTCATTATAGGTAGTTAAATTAATCAGCATAATTGATCATTCTGGGTTGCAACAGATATGCTTTGACTGAGTGCAATGTTTCCTGAAGCAACCAGCCCATGATGGGGAATTTTCGTATTGAGAACTGCTCATTACTATCTCCCCTGGTTTGAGAGAAAATTGGGTAGCTTCCTGCAGCTGAATGTGGACAAGACTCTGGCTCCCCTCAAACGTCTTCACTCCCTTGGATCTAAACTCCTCAAGCTCCCTGGGCTCTCCCTCAGACTCACCAAACCAGTGCACAATGTAGGCATCCGCTTCGACCCCCAGCTGTCCTTCCTCCCCCACTTCCGATCCCTGACCAGGACCGCCTTCCTCCCACTTCTGCCACATTGCCCGCCTCAGACCGTACCTTACCCCAAATGCAGCCGAAACCCTCGTCCATGCATTTGTGCCTTCCCACTTGGATTACTCCAACCCCCTCCTCGCTGGTCTCCCCAGCTCCACTATTCAAAAAAAAAAATCCAGCTTATTCAGAACTCTGCTGTCTGCACACTTACCCGGTCCAAACTCTGCACCCACATCGCACCAGTTCTGGCCAGGCTCCACTGGCTCCCCATCACCTAATGGATCGACTTCAAGATCCTCACAATCGTGTTCAAATCCATTCAGTCCCTGGCACCTCCCTACCTCTCCACCACCCGGTGCCTCCGCTCGACTTGTCCCTCGCCCACTTCGCTCCACCGTTGGAGGTTGGGCTTTCAGCAAAACTCTGGAGCACTCTCCCTCAGTCCCTCCGCCTTGCCCCCTCGCTCCCCTTTTTTCAGCCCCACCTGAAAACCTTTTCGACCGTGTTTACAGTCAGCTCCACGCACCCCTGAGCTTGGAGTTGGGCTCCATCACTGTTAAGCGCTCTGAGACGCTACCCTGTGTGGAGGGCGCTCTTATCAGTGCAAGTTATTGCTGTATTACAGGTTATCAAAGGATAGAGAAGTATGTGTAACTAGGTTGAAGATTGCTTCTCTTCCCCATGCACCCACAATATGTTGGAAACGTTACCCATTTTAAAAATGGTTTTCTTCATTAAATTAATTGACGAAGGATGGTTTCTCCGAGGCCTAGTTTTAAGCATTTATTTTTAGCTGCACAGATGCGTCTAAGAAGGGGCTTTCATTATTAAGATCGTACATCTTTTTTTATTGGAAGTTTTATTGCAAATATCAGAGCTTTCTTGTAAAATGATCCTAAGATTAGCCACATATGAAATATTTGCAATTTAGATTGTATTTCTTCAAAGTTCTAAATTTACTGCAAGGACATTTTGTGTGCTCTTTAATGTGCATTCTTCCTCATTTGTTTATCTATATCCAATAGGGTCAGTTCCAACCCATCACCTAATAGAGGAAAATTACCATGTGGTTTCTCCTACTGTTAACAGCCCGTTTCCTCCTTATTCATGTAGTCATCATTATTTTGGATCATTAATGCCTAAGAATGCTGAGCAAGTATTGTGTGATTTTTTTAACTTATACTTTCTCAAATTATTTGTGGCTTTCTCTTTATTTTGTTGATCATCAATACACAATTTGCTTGGATTGACATTTTTTTCATTTTTTAAAAAAAATCCTACATCAATTGATCTGCTTCAGTCTGTTTATAGTGTTTTAAATATGTACAGATTTGTTATACAACAATGTAATTTTGTAATGTAATTGTTGTATTGGGTACATTCAAAATGAATGGCATTTTGAAATACTACCTTACGCTTTAAATTGCAGAAATGG